TGGAAAGGGGAGTGGCAGGTATGGTGTGGGGTGGGGTGATCAGGAAAATTCCAGAAGTGGAACAAAAAGGCAAAGGTGACGCTGGGTTTCCTCTCTCCGCTGGGGCAGACTGACCTGATCTCCCAGACAGGAGGATGACTGTCACCAGCAGGTCCAGTCCATATGATCACGCTGTAATGGTTCACGCCCACGTAACAGAGTCAGATCCTTAAAGCACAGCAGAGGGGCTGGAGAGCTGGCTGGGCCAGGAAAGTGCTTGCTTTGGGAGAGCAAGGACACAAAGACCCGAGTTTGATCCCCAGGAACAATGTGAAAAAAAAAAACAACAAAACACACACAAAAAAAAACTGGGCCATAGTGTAGCCCACACTTGCAAAACCAGCACTGAGGAGATTCTGACTAGTGGGTATCTGGGGCTTGCTGGCAGCCCAGCCTACTTGGTAAGTTCAGGCTAGTCAGAGACCCTGCCTCAAAAACAAACAACAACAACAAAAATGGTGAGTGACACCTGAGGAGCTGATCAAGGTTGTTCTCTGGCCTACACACACACACACACACACACACACACACACACACACATACACATACACACACTCACACACACACACACACACAGAGGGGGAGGGGCATTGCCCCAGTGAGCATAAGCAAAGCTCTATATGGAAGAGGGCAGCATGTGTGCAGGGTTGTAGCATGCATGCAGGGTTGTAACATGTGTGCAGGGTTGTAGCATGCGTGTAGGGTTGTAGCATATGTGCAGGGTTGTAGCATGTGTGCAGGGTTGTAACGTGTGCAGGGTTGTCATGCGTGCAGGGTTGTAACATGAGTGTAGGGTTGTTACATGCGTGCAGGGTTGTAACATGTGTGCAGGGCTGTAACATGTGTGCAGGGTTGTTCAGGACTGGCTTGGAGAAAGGCGCCAGGATATGTTGGCTTACCAGCGGCCATTCTGCAACCAGCTCCATCCAGATCATGGAGACAGGAGTTGACAGCAGTGTGGGTCGGTCAATATTTGAAGAGGGGTGGAGATCCTAGGGAGGGAAGATTAAGAGGTGAATCATGTCAGGGGTGTGTGAGCACCTCAGGTCTGTATGTGGAGTGGTTCTGCTCAGTGTCCGGCTTGCCCCCACTGGGGACAGTCTTCACCAGGAAGTCCTCACTCGGGGGCTCACGGCGATCTCCACCCAGGGCGTTCCACTCTGATTACTGTTCCGTGGCCACCATCTTGAAGTAACTTTTGTCTCATGTGTTTGTGTAGGTAGAGTGTATGCATGTGTATCCAAGCATTTGCATGTATGTGGATGCACATACATAGGGGCATGTGCACGTGTGTGCTCGTGTATGCAGAGGTCTGTGCTGGCTAGTTTCATGTCAATCAGTCCCAAGCTAGAGTCACTCGGTAGGAGGGAAGCTCAATTGAGAATACGCCGCTATAAGCCCGAGCTGTAGATAAGCCGCCAAAACATTTTCTTCATTAGTAGTGGATGGGGGAGGGCCCAGCCCACTGTGGGTGGGGCCATCCTGGGCTGGTGGTCCTGGGTTCTGTAAGAAAGCAGGCTGAGCAAGCCGTGGTGAGCAAGCCAGTGAGCAGCACCCCTCCATGGCCTCTGCATCAGCTCCTGCCTCCAGGTTCCTGCCCTGTTTGTGTTCCTGTCCTGACTTCCCTCAGTGATAAACAGTGCTGTGGAAGGGTAAGCAGAATAGACCCTGTCCCCCAGCTTTGGTCACGGTGTCCTATCACAGCAAGAGTGACCGCGAGACAAGATCCAAGGCTGACACTGGGCATGTTCCTTGGTAGCTCTCACCTCGCACATTGAGGCAGGGGTCCAGGGCGCACTGTTTCAGACTGGCTCTGGAGACCCCTTGCCTCTGCCTCCCACACACTAGGATTGCAGGTGGGCCACCATACCCACCTGGCTTTTACATGTGACGTGGGGACCTCAACTCCAACCCTCACCCTTGCATGGCTGAACTAGCCCCCTAGCCCCCTTAAAAGCCTTCCTTCTTTTAAACTATTGATTTTACTTTTAATTGCGCATGTGTTTTTGTCTGTGCACCTGAGCACAGGGTGAAGAGGGGTCCGATCCCCTGGAGCTGGAGTTACAGGCAGTACTGAGTCTCCTAATGTGGGTGATGGAAGCTGAACTTGGATCCTTTGAAAGAGTCCCAAGTGCCCTTAACCACTGAGCAACCTCACCAAGTACCCGATTGATATTCTTGATAGTGTGATCTGTGAGTCCGCGTCGTATGAGTGAAGCTGGTGGTGTACAAAGGGTGTCCGTGGGGCGCACGCATGATGGCCGCTCTTACGCACTTTCACACCTACCGCTCAGGGCGCCACCATCCACGTGGGGTGCTGAGCAAGCCTGGCATCTGCAAGAGAGTGTGCGTGATCTGAGTGCTGACCTGCTTGCTATTCGTGTTGGCATGATGCCAAACACAGAAAGTGGGGGGGACACACATTCTGAAAACCACAAACACGGACTAGAGAGATAATTCAGTTGGCAAAGGGAATTCAATCCCCAGAGGCTGTGCGAAAAAGCCAGTGCTGCACACTTGTAACCCCGCCTATGTTGGGCAGCCAAGCATGGCGCTACACCCTCGCAGACCCAGTGCTGTGAGGCGGAGACAGGTGGGTCCCTGGGGCTCCTGGGTCACCTGGTTAGGGGGTCAACCTAATCAGGAAACTTCAGGTTAGTGAGAGACTCTCTCAGAGGGAGAAGATGAACAGCTTTTGAGAAACAGGAGCCAAGGCTGACCTCTGGTCTCTGCATAAGTGCACACATGTGTACATGTGCAGCTGCATACATACAAACACACATGTTCAGGGTTACACACACACACACACACACACACACACACACACACACACACACACGCTGCTGAGAGAGCAGTCGTGAAGTTTCCAGGGTTCCACACCAGAGTCCCTTACATTTCAAGCCAGCTCTACACAGTGTAAAGAAGGCAGGATCCATACTAATGGCTTGAGCTTCTAATTCCTTTTTAACTTGCAATGACTTGAACAACCAATGTAATTCATGAGTAGTGGAGTGAGGGAATGCAGAAGGAAGGGGAGATCCTGTTCTCATCCCTTCCACGGTGCTTCTCCCTGTTTTTAGAACAAGCCTGCATTGTTCTCTCTTCACGCTGAAAACTCCATAGCCAGCTGCTATGGTTTGGATAAGGGTCCCCTAGAAAGTCACGAGATACAAGCGTGTTCCCCAGTCTGGTGCTACTGGAGGTAACATGGCCTTGAATAGGTAGGTCCATGGGGGGGGCTTACTGGTCCTTCAATCTTTGGGAACCCATTGCAAGGGGATTGCGGGGTGCCCCGTCTCTTCCTCTTGCTCTTCCCTTCCTGCTCCCAGGGGATAAGCAGCTTTGCTCAACAACTCCTTTCCCACTGTGACACGCCCCTCGAAGCACTAAGGCCAGCTGGTCGTGGACCGGAACCAAGTCATGATGCAAACTGAGCCTTTTCTCTCTACAAGCAAACCGCCTCAGGCATTCTCCTATAGTCTCTTGAGGCTGGTAACACACCGGTGAAGTCCACAGTACGGTTGCCGATGAAACATTGGGCACTGAGTGCGAGTCTACAGCCTGCTGGCCCTTCCCGAGAGCCTCGCCTCAGCAAGTGTCCGCAGCCCAAATCCTACTCCACTGTGAACACACAGAGGTCCAAAGAAAAGGGCGGTGGGTGGCTGCGGAGGATAATGTGAGGCAGCTCTTAGCTTTGGAGCCTTGTTCTTGGAGTCTCATCCACCGCCTGCCCTTTCCAGCAGACCAGGAATACGAAGTGAGATTCAAAACGAACGCGGGGATCTCACAGCCAGGAGGGGCTGGTGACTCACTCACAGTCAACCAGCTGGCCCGTATGAATCGAGGTCCGAGTCAGTACCAGGGTGGAGGCTTGCCTTGCGCACTGTGCCTCGATGGGTGCTCTGCAGTTGGGTTTCTTTGCATGCCTAGGGGCATAGCCCAGAGCTGAGCACTCCCATCTAGAAATTGAGTTTATTTCAATCCTTGTTGACTTTTCTGCTGCTTTCTGACCCTGACTCCAGGCTCTCAGCTGCTGCGGGTATTTTTGGCCAGCAAGACTCGTGTTCTGTGAGTCCAGTGTTTATGTTGTTAGGACTCCAGGTCCAGTAACAATAAGCCCAGGAGGGTGGGGAAGCCCCACCCACCAGCCTATATACAGCCTGATGCTCAGCAAATAGTTACACTGAGGACCTGGGTGAGTGCCTTATTGACGGAAGCCTTGGTAATTGCTGGTTTGTGCTTCTCTGGAATGTTTTCCCAGGAGTGTCCTTAGCATGCTTCCCTTTTGCACTGGCTGTCGGGAGACTCAGAGTCACAGTTTTGAAGACTTCTCAACAAGTCTATAAATAGCATGCACACTTACTTTTTTCTCCCTTCCCATCCTTTCGTGTCCTCCTGGCTGACTTGATTTTTAGGCTCTCAACGTATACTGCATAAGTCCTTGCGAGACACTTTAACTTGTTGCACACTTTAGCTGTCTTGGCTCGAGGCTGTAACTCCGTTGGTAGAGCAGCTTACCCAGTGGGCACAAAGCCGTGAGTTCCATCTCCTGAGTCACATAACTTGGTTGTGGGGGTGCACGCGTGCATGCCTGGAATCCCCGCACCGAGGAGGCGGAGGCAGGAGGATCAGATGATGTCTTTAAGCTGCATAATCAGATCAAGGCCAGCCTGGGCTACATGAGACCCTGCCTCAAACAAGTAAACAAATAAAAATCCCTGTCCTGAACTTCTGGCCAGCAGAGGACAAGAAAGAACACTCAACAATGCCACACGCTTTTGTCACAGCAATAAGCCTCTCTTTGTCTGACTGCTTTCTGGTGCTCGGAGCTTTTAGAGGACTAGACATTGGGGTGGGGGTGGGGATGTCATCTTCTAGCTAGGTGGCCAGGTTGCAGCACAGGCGGCACCCTGGAATCAGTGCAGGCAAAAGGCCTGACAGCGCAGCAAACTCTCACGGAGCATCGTCCTGCTTTGACTGGTCCAGGTCTACCTGCACAGCCCCACAGGGCAAAGGACACTGAGATGCTGAAAGTGCCCAGGAGGCGTGAATGTTAGAGAATTCAGCTGCTCTGGTCTTCGCTGAGAGGGGAGGCACCCGAATCCAGGAAGAGAGCGTTTCCATGGGGCAGGCAGGGCAGGGGAGGGCTCCTCCCAGCGTGTTTGCCCTGCTCTGTGTATTCAGCCGGCAGGCCTGACAAGGAAGCAGAGGGCAGGGGGCCAGGCTCCGCACACAGTCTGGTACCGGGCAGCAACAGCTGGAGACACAGGATCCTGAGCAGAAACCACTGCTGCAAACGCCACGGGACCCAAGATACTGCCACCAGCTCATCAGGTAACCGCCTCCAGGGCCGTGAAGCTTTGCAGGGGTGTCTATTGCTGCTGGTGGTGGGGGTGAGACGGAGGCTGGGGACCCCAGGGTTGAATTTGACCGCATCTCTCACTCAACCGCTGTGCAGTCTCGTTTGCGAGGGCGTTGACTTTACCGTCTGTGAGATGGACTTAGAGACTGCTCTTCCTAAATAGCGTCGGGGGCTTATGAGGGCTGTGTTGGTTATGGAGCAACATAAGTCCCTCCAGTCTGTGTGGACCCTGGAGGATCATCGAAGACTGGGGACCAGGGTCAAGGCAAGAATCTCGCGGCCGAGCAGACTTCGAATCTGTGGCTCAGCGCATTGTCTGAGGACCTGAGGAGACGGGGAAAGGGACTCTTAAAGTGTTGTCTGTGAATCTGGCTCTCTCTGTCTATGATCGTGGTGACACAGTGAGGCAAGTGCTGAGTTCAAATCCCTGGGAGTTTGCATCATCCTCTGAACTACTCTCCTGCATGGCAGAGCCATGATGCCCAGAGGGTGGTCTCAACCCAACCACAAGCTGGCCACCCTGAGAGCAGGTTCCTTCAGCCTTGTGGGCCTCGGTTTCCTCATCTGTAAAATGGGCATCACCACAACTCTGAACTCAGAGGATAAATGCACACGAATGGGCATAGCCATGGGTCTGCTCCGGGTGTCAGTGTTGTATCTACTTCCCAATGGAGAGAACGAGACTGTGGAGAGAGATGGGGACTGGTCATGAAACCGTAGCAGTAGGTGCTGACGGATCCAAGTGACAGCCAGGAGGAGGGAAACTGTTCACAAGGGACATCAAAAGACTCGGCCATCAAGATCAGCCCACACCAGGAGTGGTGGCACTCAGGAGGCAGAGGCAGGAGGATCACAACACATTTGAGGCCAGCCTGGTCTACATGGGAAGTCTAGACCAACCAGTAGAATATAGTGAGCCCTTGTCATAAATAAATATTAAATAAGGGCTGGAGAGGTGGCTCGGTAGTTCAGAATTCTCGTTGTTCTTGCAGATGACCTGGGTCCTGTTTGAAGCACCCATGTGACAGCTCACAATCATCTCTATGATATGATGCCTCCTTCTGGCCTCTGTGAGCACTGCACACACATACACACATGTATACATACATACACACACAGGCACAGGCAAACACTCATACACATAAGATAAAAATAAATAATTTTTTAAAAAATTGAAACCTATAAAAAGATCCATTACATCTTAAGACAAAATTCTCAAAGTGAAAATTAGTTGAAGACATCCATGATTCACAAAATCTCAACTCAAGTCAGTAAATATAAGATCCATGGCAGCATTAATCTTGATTTTTAAAAATCGTGTTAAAGGTGTCGGAGATGTAGCTTGACAGTAGAAAACTTGCCCTGGGTAGCAAACACAAGGTCCTGGGTTCGATCCTCAGCACTCCAGAAAAAAAACAAATGAACAGAAGGCACATACCTGTGACCTAACGCTTGGGAGGCTGAGGCAGAGGATTGCAGTGAGTTGGAAGCCAGGCTGAGTCAGAGTGTATTCCAGCCTGCACTGCAGTGTGAGACTGCAGAGGAGGGGAGGGGAGGGGAAGGAAGGGGAGGGGAAGGGGAGAGGAGAGGAGAGGAGAGGAGAGGAGAGGAGAGGAGAGGAGAGGAGAGGAGAGGAGAGGAGAGGAGAGGAGAGGAGAGGAGAGGAGAGAGAACAAAGCTGTTAACCCTGGTTCCTCCTGATGCCTGGGATTCCTGCCTTTCCTCACACCTGAAGCTGCCTTGCTGGCTCACCCTGGTTCCAGCCCTGCTGTGACCTGAGCCCTTGGGTGTGTGTGCTGCTCCCTAGCAGGAGAAGGTGTGTGTCTCAGTGACTCCCTAGCAGGAGAAGGTGTGTGTCTCAGTGACTCCCTAGCAGGAGAAGGTGTGTGTCTCAGTGATTCCCTAACAGGAGAAGGTGTGTGCACTCAGTGATTCCCTAACAGGAGAAGGTGTGTGCACTCAGTGGCTAAAACTGAGGTGGAGTGGAAGGAAGAGCCACACACTGAACCACAGAAAATTCTTTTTTACTTTATTTTTCTGAAACCCCACCCCCTCAGGAGCACACCTGGTTTGGTTTGGCTTGTGTGCTTTGGCAGATCCTCACTATGAAGCCCAGGCTGGTTCCAAACTCAGAATCCTCCTGCCGTAGCTTCCTGGGTGCTGGGTTCACAGGCAGGCACCACGGAGCCAGGCTTCCTGGTTGTGTGTTAAGGAGAAGGGCAATGTACTCTAGGAAGCAGTGGGTGAGCCCAGGCTGACCCTGGATGCTTTGTGGCTAGGGATATAGGGGAGAGGGACAGACAGCTCTCAGGGGGGCACCTCCCTCGCTCCCGCTCTGCTCCTGCGGGTGTCCTGCACAGTAGTACCTGGCAGTGGCAGTGGCTTCTTTATTTCAACCCAACCTTGGGCAGTCAAGCGGCTGAAGTCTGCTGACTTCTCGCAGACCCAGCTATGCCTCCCTGAGCTTTCTTCTTCCTCCTCCATGTAACCGACAAGCAGGAAGTGACACACGGAAGGATGCAGGAAGGACAGACAAGGTGAAGCCTTCTTGGTGGTCACCTGCCTATGGGAAGGGACTGCAGGACCAAGCTCGATGTCATACTCTACAGAACAGGGGACTAGAGCTTTGGAAGGGGAACAAATGTCTGGACTTGGGGCTCCGTGAGATGAGCAGACACCTGTAGCAAGCTGCAGGGAGACACTCCCTAACTCACTCATGCTGTGGCCACCCGGGCCCTAAGAAGGATGTCTGCATATGAGGGCACCCAGGTGGGCTAGTGCTGGCCCTGCACAGGGCACCAAATGCTACCCGATCATGGCGCTGCCCCTGTCCTTCATTTAAAGATGTTTGGGTCAGTCCTCAGATAAAAACAAACTGGGGACTGGGGTACAGCTCAGTGGTATAGCACTTGCCTAATATTCATGAGACCCTGAATCCAATCCCCAGTACTGAGAGAGAGAGACAGAGAGACAGACAGAGACAGAGACAAAACAAAAACAAAATAATAAGCTATCCATCTTCTAGAACCAGTCACTATATAGGGGAAAACAACGGTGTGTCACAGAAGCAATACACATGTCACCAAACACTCCTAGACACCCAGCAGGAAGCCCTTCTCCTGGACTCCAGGCATCCCATGCAGGGGGGGGTGAGGAGTTCAGAGAGGAGGGACTTCTAGCTTGAGCCCCCATACAGGAAGCAACCTGCACCACTGAGCACGGCCCCCTGGTGTTAGCCACTGGAGCTCAGCTCTGTGCCAGGCACCCAGGGGGTGGATCTAGATGGTAGGTCTGTTCGCATGATTGACAGCAATCCTGACCTTGCTTTGAGGACTGGGAGAGAGCGTGGTGCGGCCCGATTTGCCAGCCTGGCCGTGTTGGCACCCCTCTCGGTGGAGTGGTGGATGGCTTGTGGTTTGTCTGCATTCCAGTGCATTGATCAAAGGTGATTTCCTGTTTGCTGGGTGACTAATTCTGTCATCATTCCACCCTCCTGGGCCCTCCCCTTGCTCTCAACAGTCATTTAGCTGCCTGCTGGGCAGTTCTCAGAGATAGTCTTTTGCTATGGCAGACTTGAATGGTGTGTGCATTTATCCCCATCCCAGGAGCAGGGAATCCCTGCTAATCCACAGTTGAAATGAGGGTCAAGGGTACAGCCTCGGCTGTCAATCAAAAGGAGTTTCTTAGCAACACTAAAGAGTGACACGTTCGCAAGAATCAGAGCCCAGAGCGGCTGAGCTCAAGGTGTCATGATGAGAAATGGATAGTATTCACGGTAACTAAAATTACAGACAGTTGTGAGCCACCACGTGGGTGCTGGGAATTGAACCAAGGTCCTCTGTGAGAGAGCTTTTAGAAGGGGCTCTCACTAGTCTGGAGCTCACAAAGCAGGCTAGACAGGCTGACCAGTGAGCCCAGACATACGCCTGTCGACTCTGCCTCCTCGGTGCTGGAATTAGGGGTGCATACCACTGCAGCGGCTACATGCGGAAGTACTGGAGATGGCGCTCAGGCCTCATGATTGGGCGGCAAGCATTTTACCTCCAGAGACGTGCCCCCAGCCCTTTTGCCCGCTCAGGCTGCAGAAACAGAGATACCACAGGCAGGAGTGAAGGGCCTCAATGACAGACACTTACCTTATAACGGGTCACGCGGTTAGGAGACAAGCGCAGAACCACCAACAGGGTCTCATCACTCGGCAGCTCTGAGGGAAACCGACCAGAAATAGCAAGGGCAGTAACAAAAATGACCCTGTTTGTGGCTGGCATTTGGGCGGCACTATCACCTGCCAGGCCCTGGGGGGAGCACCTTGGATACATTAACTCGCTTAACTCTCACAATGACCTCTTGAGATGGGACCTATTGTCCTTAATCAATTAATTGATTCTTAAATTAGCATAGATTTCTTGTTGTTAATTCTCCTGCTTTCTCCCCATGCCCCCAGTCCCGTTACCCCTCAAATACTTCCACTCTCAGTAGTTTCCTGTCTGATTCTACGCTGTGAGCAAGAACTCTCTGAACTGGGCTCCAGTAGCACAGGAAATAGTCCTGCAAATTTCCAAATCATTCTATATGAAGCTTAAAGATCACTACGTAGCAAAGGGAACTACCGTTCAGGGCAGGCAGACAGCCTGGACAGAATAGGACCAAAACCTTGGTTCCCAGTTCCCACATGGCAGCTCACAACTGTCCACAACTTCAGTTCCAAAGGATTCCGTGCCCTCTTCTGATCTCTCTCCTTGGCCAGCTCTATATAAAAATGTGCACAAATTAAACACCAAAACAAAATCTCGCACATAAAAATACTGACGATCTATAAATGAGCTAGTGAGATAAACAGAGAGCTCTCAAAAGAAGAAACACAAACATTTTTGAAAATGTTCAGGGCTTGCTGGGCGCTGGTGGCCCACGCCTTTAATCCCAGCACTCGGGAGGCAGAGGCAGAGGTAGAGGCAGGCGGATCTCTGTGAGTTTGAGACCAGCCTGTCCTACAAGAGCTGGTTCCAGGACAGCCTCCAAAGCCAGAGAGAAAACCTGTCTCGAAAACAAACAAACGAAAAACAAAAAAAGTGTTCAGGGCTGAAGAGGTTACTCAGGGTTAAGAGCTGTTGCTGCTCTTGTAGAAGACCTGGGTTTGGTTCCCAGTTCCCACATGGCAGCTCACAACTGTCCATAACTTCAGTTCCAAAGGATTCAGTACCCTCCTCTGATCTCTCTCCTTGGGCACCAGGCATACCGGTGAAGCACATACATACACGTGAACCAAACACTCACACGCACATTAAAAAAAAAAGTGTTCCATAGCCTGAGCATCTCGGAATGAAAAGCTCTTCACTACGCTGGTCACACGGATGAGGAGAATGGGAATCAGGGAGGCTTCGGGAGTGGCCCAGGGTCAAGTTTCTCACTGTGCGGTGAGCAGGAGCGGAATGTAAACTCTAGAGCCCACTTGGCAATCCTATGTCCCACTGTGTTCATCTAGAGCCGTCTGCAGCCTCTGGGTGAGCTCTCCAGACCCGTGAGGCATGGCTGTCATTCTTGATTTACTGGTCACAGCTCTGTTGATCCCTGGAAGCCTTAGTTCCTGACAGCTGTTAGTTCATTTCCAGCCATCTAAATGCTCTCTTCAACCCCTAGGCGCAAGGATTCGGTTCTGCTGTACTTATGTCTGCCAGTAGGTGGCAGTAAACCTTTTGCTTTTGGTTTGATTTAAATACCGCTGTTTTAAAACAGCTGATGGACAGGCTAGGACAGCTTTAGGGGACATTGTGATTGCTGGAGAAAAGTGTGGTCTGATTCCAGGTGATCTTAGCAAAACACAGGCCTGCATTTCCCACTGTTTGCTCCCCATGGCCCTGAAGTTGCAGAAAAACCAGAGTATGCAATAAAAGAGCCAGGGAACCTCAGCTCTATGAGATGAAAAGGCGTGTCTCCTGACTGTGGGTAGCACACATCTCCCAGCCCAAGACATCTCTAACCTTAAGTGTGCATTGAAAGTAGTCGCCAAGGGGCTGGGGAGTTGGCTCAGTAGGCCAAGTGTTTGTACACCAGCGTGAGGATTTGAGTTCAGATTTCCATACCCAAGCAAAAGGGAGAGCACATGCCTACCATCCCAGCACAGGACAGGAGCTGCAGGAAGATTGCTGGGGCCTGTTCGCCAGTATAGCTGGTCTGGGGAGTTCCAAGCTCAGTGAAAGACTCTGTCAAAAATAAGATGGGGACAATTGAGAAAGGCACCCAGGTGTGGGCCTCTGAGCTACTCACATGCACACACAGACAGGCCCCCAAAATAGCCACTAAATAAGAGCTAGCTTGGATTGAATAACTGGGGGCTTATGAGTTTGCACACCCCCATTGTTGAATTATTAAATAACGGTGTTTAGACTTGTATAAAGTTAAATTTGAATATTGGATATAGCCATTACATGTGTGCATATAGTTATGCATAACCTTTTCCAAGATATTCAGCCTACATGCCTCAGTTTCCCCATCTACAAATTCAGGACAGTATTCTCATGGTCCTCTTGATATGTTACAAGGAGTCAATGAGTGCCAGCCAGTGCAGGGAGCTTTTCACTATGTCTTGACTTCACACGCAGGCGCTAAGACGTAAGTTTGCGTTTTGATTTTTTTCCTCCCTTTTTTCTATTAAAGGAACAATGGGCAACCAAATGAGCGTCCCGCTGAGAACTGAAGTCCAGGAGAAGCAACCGGAAGCAAACACTTACAAGGTAACACACTCTCAATCGCTGGTACATGGATACCAGAAAGTAGACTCTGCAACTCTGCCTTCCCAGGGCTCACTGAGGAGAAGGCGTGTACAGGCCACTGTTCACACTGTTGGTCAGTGGTAGCTGGCGTCCTAGAATCTACCAAGGGGTTAGTGAAAAAGGCAGGTCCTGTTGGGGGTGAGGGGCTCAGTGGGTAATGTGCCTGCCGTGCAAACATGAGAACCTGCCCCCAGCACCCACAGAAAGAGCTGGGTGTGGTAGCCCAGAGAGATGAGGATCCCGATGTGACCTCTGACCTCTGTACACACATGCATGGACATTACACACATGCATGGGCATGTATGAGTACACCTCTACCACAAAATGCAAGCTCTGTGATGCCATGTATGGCAAGCAATTTGAAGAAATGATGGTCTTCAACGACCTCCATGGGAGGTGGCCAGGGAGCCAGTTTAGTAGCTAGTTCAAGGTCGGTTTCCAAATGCAGACTTGTTTCTCGGTGCTTCCCCGAGGGACACTGGACAGGGTCTGGATGTGCTTCTGTTATCTTAGGAAGGGGCTCTTTCTGACATCTGGTGCATAGAGGCCACAATTGCCGCTGACAGTCCTACTGTGGTGTGATGTTTTGATTGTGTTCTGACAAGTAAAGATTGCTTGGAGTCAGAGGACAGAGTTAGCCACTAGCTGACCAAAATTAACCATAGAGGTTTGGAGGACTGTAGATAGAGAGGAGACAGGAAATAATAAGGCAGGGCTGAGAGAGGCTCTCCGCCCTTTTGGACAGAAGGATGGAAGATGTAGGAGGCAACTGGAGGCTGCTCCCTGCTTCTCTGATCTTTCAGGTTCTTAACCTGATGGATGACTTTCAATAAAAATTAATTATATTAATGCTTCATCCTACAACGCACGGGACACACATGCACACACACACACACACACACACACACACAGAGAGAGAGAGAGAGAGAGAGAGAGAGAGAGAGAGAGAGAGAGAGAGAGAGAGAGAAGAATTACCTAGCTCAAATGCCCATAGTGCTGAAGTTGGCAACCCTAGGTATATTTCAGTGATGCAAGACTTTAGCTGTACATTGAACCTCTGGAAAATGTCAAAAATCACAGCATCAGTGCTGGAGAGATGGCTCAGTGGTTAAGAGCACTGGCTGCACTTCCAGAAGTCCTAAGTTTAATTCCCAGCAAACACATGGTGGCTCACAACCGTCTGTAATGAGATCTGGTGCCCTCTTCTGGCCTGCAGGCGTACATGCAGACAGAATGCTGTACACTTAATAAATAAATAAATCTTAAAAAAAAAAAGAAAGAAAAGAAAAGAAATCACAGCATCTGGCTTTCTCCATAGAACCACTTTGTGGGCGGATTAAGGAAGTCCACAAACGCCCGAGGAAACGAATAACAAATATTTTTCTTTAGGGAGCACTCGCACACTATAAGTAAAGCGCCACCTTGGTCTTCCTCCCTTGGAGGCTCAGACGATGCAGGACCATGGTCAGATCTCAGCCCGTCACCCCAAGAAAGAGCCAGCACGACCCCTCCTCTTCCTTAGAAGGGATCTCGTCCACACACCGACGCCATGCCCTAAGACTCTGAAACTATTGGCAGAAACAAATTCCTACTGCAGAGTTTAACCCAAAATTATGTGGAATCAGAGTGGATGGGAGTGCTCTCAAAGCTCGTGGATAATAGCACGTACAGCACTGGTGGAGAGTTACCACTAGGGCTCTCCCCTAAAAGATGCCTGTCAAGAGCTGAGGCCAAGGACCTAGGGGCTTGATCAGTTGGTGAAGTGCTTGCCTTCCAAACACAAGGACATGAGTTCGATTCCCAGAGCCCACATTAAAAAAAAAAAAAGCAGACTAGTATATACTGTCCCTGAGGAGATGGAAACAGGCAGCAGATCCTTGGAGTTTATAGGCTAGCTAGTGTAGATTAGGCTAGCTAGTGTAGATTAGGCTAGCTGGTGTAGATTAGGCTAGCTAGTGTAGATTAGGCTAGCTGGTGTAGATTAGGCCAGCTAATGTAGACTAATGTAGATTAGGCTAGCTAATGTAGATTAGGCTAGCTAGTGTAGATTAGGCTAGCTAGTGTAGATTAGGTTAGCTAATGTAGACTAGTGTAGATTAGGCTAGCTAATGTAGATTAGGCTAGCTAGTGTAGATTAGGCTAGCTAGTGTAGATTAGGCTAGCTAGTGTAGATTAGGCTAGCTAATGTAGATTAGGCTAGCTAGTGTAGATTAGGCTAGCTAGTGTAGATTAGGCTAGCTAGTGTAGATTAGGCTATAGATTACTTTGCAAGCCCAAGCCACTGTCTCAAAACAGGTGGATGTGGCCAGAGGGACAACTCCTGAAGTTTTCCTATCAATACACGGTGAACTTTCATTATTTGGCAGGTGTGCTCATTAAAGGCACGGCTAATGATTGCATTTGTGTGGCCAAGACAGACAGGAGGAGGAGCCTTTCAGGTCACTGAACCACATTTTAGATTCTGGCTCGGTTCCTTATTAGACAATGTGCCTTTGGGGCCTCGGCACCCCACGCTTGCTGTGGGGTGTGGCTGCCTTTGTGAGGTTGCTGAGGTGACACATGAGCCCCAGAGTGTTTTTCTGTCAGGAATCTGGCCTAAGTGAGTCGTTTTGCTACTCCGAGGCTGGATAGAAAGCTGGCACTCTGTACAAACACAGCCTTTAAGCTGGGCATTGGAAGGGGCTCCTGTAGCCTTGAGGGTCTTCCATGAGTTTCCCCTTCCAAGACCTGACCACCAAAACCTTCTGTTCTCTTGCAGGTGATAGCAGACAACGAGCACGTTCAGAATGGGAACCCAGTGATGGTGTCCACTCAGGTGATTCAGCGCAGTGATGAAGGTCAGTGCCGTGTAGGCAGACCGCTCTGCCAGAGAGCAAGGTCACCTCTGACCCTATTTACAGTGAACAGAACAAGGGTGGAGCCGTAGGTTTTCCTTGAAAGCGCGCCTATTTATTCCCCAGGCTGGCAGAGACCCTGGGCCCACACTGGGTGGTTACACATTGGAAGCTGCCTGCCCTAGGATGTTGAGCACCATCAGTTTGCTCTCCTCTGAGCTCGGGAGAGGGCCTGATCCAGCCCGTCCTGACTCAAGGGTGGATGGTCTCTCCCTGGATCCCCACAGCACCTCTGAATACATGGCTTCACAGCAGTTAAGAAAAAGCAACAGAGCCGGGCGTTGGTGGCTCACGCCTTTAGTCCCAGCACTCGGGAGGCAGAGGCAGGCGGATCTCTGTGAGTTCGAGACCAGCCTGGTCTACAGAGCGAGTTCCAGGACAGCCTCCAAAGCCACAGAGAAACCCTGTCTCGAAAAACCAAAAAATAAAAATAAAAAATAAAAAAATAAGAAAAAGCAACAGAATGGGAGCCCCAGGGCCTGGCGTTGGGGGTCAACACACCTGGCTTAGAACCCCCACTTGGCAGCTCGTTGGCTACGTCACGTGGCACAGCAAGATGTGCAGTTGATGACATTTGATGACTGAGGCGGCCTCACCTCCCTGCCCCAGGAAGGGTTCCTTCTCTGGGTGACTCTGGAGAACTGGAAGAACCAAAAGTTACAGAGATCACAGAGTTAAAGGGGATGAACCCACAACCCTCCCGCCTACGTCCAGGCCAAACTAATCAATAACCCTTATAGGAAGATGAGCTCTTCCAGGGCTGGAGAGATGGCTCAGTGGCTAGGAATGCCTGCTGCTCTTCCATAGGCTATGGGTCCGAGGTCCAGCGCTCACACGGTGGTTCACAGCCATCTATGATGCCAGTTCCAAGAATCTGATGCCCTGTTCTGGCCTCCATGGACTCCCGCATGCCTACAGTATACACACTCATGCAGGCGTGCACACACACACGCGCGCACGCACACACACACACACACACACGCACACACGCACACATTTTAAAAAGTGATTTGTTGTACTTTACACGTCATAAATTGTTGGCTACAGAAATGCCACAGCCCCACCGACATTTGACAATCCTTCCCAGCCTACCTTTGTCACTGAAAGCAAGGAGGAGACGGCACTAAGCCCAGAGATCCCAGGATGGAGCGTCGACGGGGCTTTTAACCACCCTGGAAGACAGCTGTTCTCTGGGTTTGCTTTTGTTTTGTTTTGTTTTTGCAAAGCCACCGCACGCCTCCCCTCAGGGACCGTTAGATGAGGGTTCCCATAAAGCCACACTCTCTGAGCAGAGTTAATGCTACTGCTGTTTAATTAACATTTGGTTCCTTAATCACAAAAATGTGCTTTAAAAAGACACCTCTGTTCTCCAGAGAGGCGACGGGGTCACCTCCACACGGAAACAGACTTGAAAAGGAGGCAGGGAGTGAGTACTGGGGACATTGAAGGACTAGGGGGAGGGGGGGATTCCCTGGACCCACAGGACCCCCATCATCTGTGTTGTCCTGTCACAGAGATGTTAACTCGTACACACGTGTGGCTTGTGCCTGTTTCATGTGAAAAGAATAAGGGTTCTCATCCCCTCACCTGGGAGCAGTTTGGGGAACTTTGAGGCCCACAGCATCCTGGTCTGCAAGGCGTGAACTTATGAAACCACAGAGCATTGCAAGCATTGCAAGTGAGGGGCTGGCCACGTGCAAATCAGAATTCTTCCTCCCCCAGACGGTGTCACCCTGGAACCTGGGAGCATGTGACCTTGCCTGTGGGTGGCCAAAAGCAGGCTTTGTGAGTGGGTGAGATGGAGAGGTGGTCTTGAGATATCCCTGGGGGGGTCTAATGGCACCTGAGGGGTCACTGTAAAGAAAGGAGCCAGAGGGACAGAGCTGGAGAGGAAGAGGTGACACTGGGAACGGATGTTAGAGGGAAGGGGGAGGGGGGGAGGGAGGGAAGGGTTTGAAGATGGGCACTGATAGACTTGACCGTGGTGACCACGTGCTGAGGTAGTACACAGCCTCAGAATAGGTGTGGGAATCTCCAGAAGCTGGCCCACTCTTAACGTGTGACCTTCTGAACTGTAAGACACCTGAGTTGTGTTAAGGCCCCAACCTGGTAGTCGTTTGGTGCCACAGGGCATGCAAGCACTATAGTCTAGCTAACTTGACTCAGGGGCGAGGGAGGGGTGCAGGTGTCAACTCTGTCGCTTGCTACCTGGAAAATGGTGGGATGCAGCTGGAACTGTCCAAGACTCACCTGTAAGGTGGGAGTCACGCCCTTCTCTCCAGCCACAGGGGGCTGTAAGGACAGCAGCTATGAAGCATGGGCTTGAGGACGCAAAGGAGGAGGAGCCCGCCACAGGCAAAGCAGACTGCAGTGCCAGCGTTTGTCACTGGCTCCCCCGATGATCAATCTTTTTTAAAATTTATTTAATAGTTGTGCGTTGCGCGAATTCTCATAGGTCTTAATAATAAAATCCTGGAGTCGGATAGTAGGAGGTGAAAGCAGAGAGATCAGAGAAGCAGAGCAGCCAGTCTCTAGGGAGAACTTTTACCTCTGCCGAATCCTCAGACTGAAGGGGTGATCCTGTCTCTACGAATCCCCAGACTGAACGCTTCAGGCTGCTGCCTCAGACGGCCATGAGCCTCTGTCTCCTCCCGCGTTATACTCCTCTTCCTGTCCATTCATATCCCTTCCTGTCTCCACCTCCCTAGTGCTGGGATTAAAGGCGTGTCACTCCAAGTGCTGGGATCACCTTTGTGTGAGCTGGTTCTCTTTTAGACTGGAGCAACTTCATGCAGCCCAGGGTAGCCTTGAATTAACAGAGATCCTGTCTCCAGATTACTGGGATTAAAGGTGTGTGCTACCACTGCCTGGCCTCTATGGCTAACTAGTATGGCTAGCTTTGCGCTCTGATCTTCAGGCAAACTGTATTTGCTAGATCATAAATAAAATATCTTCACAGCTGTGAGCTGCCATGTGGATGTTGGGAATTGAACCCAGGTCCTCTGGAAGAGCAGCCAGTGCTCTTAACCACTGAGCCATCTCTCCAGCCCAGATGAATCAATCTTACCTGACAAGATTTTCCCTCTTGAGTATTTATTCCCAAAACTTCACAGATCTTTGGGGAAAATAAAAACGCCCCATTTCTCTCTTTCTTTGATTCTGTTCTAGTCAATGTATCCTCTTTAAAAGGAAAAAGTGTCTATCGTCACGGCTGATGGATGGCAGCGTCGGTCATGTGACTGATCTGCTGGAATGCATCATTTCTCAGAAGCTGATACCTGTCTCTGTCACACACGGATAAGACGTTTCTTAGAATTAATATCTTCCTTTTCATCCCTCATCAATTGTTCTTAAAGAAGGAACTGTCCAATTTTGCATCTTTAAAATACATGTGTGTGTCTGTCTGTATGCGCGTATACGGGATCAGTTTAGTGAAGGGAAAATTCCCTAATCAAGTAAAAAAGGCTTCTGCTGATAAGACAATGAGTGAGAATTTGCCAGTTTTGATCCTTAGAGGAATTCTCCCAGACAGTGCCCCAAATCACAGCTGCCTGACAGCGGGAAAACTCCGGGGCCTGGGCAGACGTTAATATATGTTTTCTCCTAGCAGCCGTGATTTCCAGCTGCTCTGTCCACGTTTGCTTTGGGTTTTGTTGTTGTTGCCTGTGGTGGTTTTATGCTCGCTGCTCATTCTGACCTTGAAGTCACAATCCCCCTAAGTCATCCTACAGTACCTGGGGTTGCAGGCCTTAACACAGTGCCAGGATACTACTACTGTTTAAAAATGCCTGCATGAGTTGAGTAAAAGTCTGGTAGGGGATTGGGGCTCAGTCAGGAAAGTACTGGGGACCTGAGTTGATTCCCAGAATGCAAGTTTGTTTTCAAATTTTGTTTATTTATGTTTTAAGGCTGGCATGGTGTCATATGATTATAATCACAGTACTAGGAAGGTGGAGAGACATAGATCCCAGCCAGTCTAGCCTGCTTAGCAAGGGAGATCCTGTCTCAAAATAGCCAGCTAGGTAACGCTAGGGTAACGATACCCACGGCTGTCCTCTAGTTAGCGTCCATGCACGTGCACACCCGTGTCCATGTATCACCTCACCTACTCCTGGGTATGCATGAACACACACATAAGGTTCGTCAACTAATTTAAATGTTAGAAGCCCCTGAGAGCAAAGGGCTCTTTGCCATGTGTTACAACATACCAGAGCTCAGTACATACACTGTACTGAAGGCCAAGACCAGCCCAGTTTTCTCCAGTCTTCTGGGAGATCCTGATGCTCTGGGAATGTGAAGATGGCTAAGAAGCAGTCGGGGACTCTCTGAGGCACGGAAGATGCAAAGAGCCAGAAATGACCCCTGTCTCCACAGCTCTACGTGTGGCTCCTGATAAGAAGCCAATAAGAGATCCGAGGGACTCCAGTGACAGCCTGAAGTTAACAGTGTTCTGACCAAACACTACGCAGCAGACTCCAGAGCTGGCCACCTCTGTCATTGTGTTTGCCTCGCTCTTTCATACTTCTCAAGAGATAGCTTTTGAAGAAATGACAGCCGTCATCCTAATCATTATCATCTCTGTAACCATCAGCCAGCATCACCATCAACAGCAGCAGAAGCAGCAGCCATCATCATCAGCCGTCATTACCATAATCACCAGCGTCACCATCTTCGTCAGCCAACATCATCATCACGTCATCACAATAATCATCACCATTATCAAATATTTCTTTCATCTGCTTTGAATCCTGTGTCTCCTTTTTATATCCCTCTTTTCCTTCCATTTTCTCTTTCTTTTCATTGTTTGTACATTTATTTTGTTTTTGCTTTTTCTTCTTTTCATGTATATGCAACATACACATTTGCATCTATGTTAGCACGTGTGTGTGTGTGTGAGTGTGTGTGAGTGTGTGTGTGTGTGTGTGTGTGAGTGAGTATGGAAG